TACTCACACCATAGGTGAAGTTGCAAGTCTTCAGATGATCTTCCTACCGAATCTCCGTGTTGAGATCCCTGATACAAGGATTTCCGAGATCGGCCTAACGAAGGTTGTCACGCCCATTGGATTGGACAACTGTTTCAGCAGGAAAGTTTGGACGGGGGTCCGTTATGCAATCTGCTGGTAAGAAGCGAGCTGCAGCAGCAGTGACAACCCTGCGGAACTTACATTCACTTAGTTGAACGTCGGTTGGTGTGGGGAGGGCAGCGATGGTGCTTTCAGTAAATTCCGCGAAGCCTTTCCGATCAGCTTTGGTAAAATTGATATAGGTCCGGTGTTCCGCAGAAGCAAAGTCGGCAGGTTTATCGATCGAGATGCCAAAGTCGGCACAGGTCACCATAATATGCTGTTTATCAGACCACCGCTGACGATTGTTATGTCTGGCGAGCTGCCCATAATCCTGGTGGGAGCGCCGTCGTTCATTGTGCAGAATGTCGAATCGTCTATCTACTCAACCAACTATCATACGGGTTTCACCTCTGAGGAGCGCACATATTTCAGGGTGATATCCTGCCGGTCAGCTGGTGGCAGAGGGTATATAAACGTAAAATATTTCGAGCTCGACATCGCCTGGCCGAATCGCAATGCCCTGACATTTTAAGATGGTATCTCTTCGGACGATGTCTGCTTCGATGAGACGATGCACGGTGTGGTGCGCAATGAACGCTAGGCCACCATCTCGCTCGCTATCTCGACGGTGCACATTGCTTCGCGTCTGGACCTCAGCTATCAATATTCCATGCCTTCCCATGAAGACGGTTATCTTCTCGATCTTGCTGTGAAGTCCGTTACAATTAAATTGAAGGAGCTTCGTGTGGTTCGGGAGACGTGTTTTTTTCGGTGGGTGAGGGATGTGTGCTGTCTAACCGCCATAGGATATGTGCTCTGCTGAACGAGTTGAAACTGCCAAAACAGTTCTCTTTACAGCGAAAAACGTGTTTTAACTAGGTAAATGCGAAACTATTGAATTTTTCACCTAATCTATTAGAGAAAAGTGAGCGTTTTAGTGCACTCCATTGCATTGCAATTTAGGCTGCTTCAGCAAACGTTTTAGTGCACTCCATTGCTTTGCAATTAAGGCTGCTGCACCAAACCGTGGCAGCATCTCCGCGCGATTATTTAGTTAATGCAGCGTTTTTGCTGCATTTAAAATGCAACATTTAGCACTTTCGAACATATGTTTTCGAAGAGCGTTCATGCTACAGCATTTAGGAAATGTACATTTACGCGAGTTCGAAATCGTATGCTTTTGACAAACAGCCGTGTTCCAGTCGCTTATTCAGATCCGTATCTATTACGATCAATTCTCATGGAAAAGATAATGTGCAAAAAAACCCTACTGAAAAGGAAAAAATAAATTTTTAACCAAAAATTCAAAAGAAAAAATTGAATTGTTGTAACCATAACCGAAAATTGGTTTGTGTATATATTCATTTGTCGGTGCTGTCAAATAAAATTTCCTCACTTAATTAGGAAACAAAACAATCGGAGTTGATCACAAATTGATCCAGATTTCTATCAGCATCACATCGTTGTTGAATTTGCGTAACTTTTGTTTATCCAAATAATGTAAAATAAGAAATGAAATCTCGGTCGGCGATCACTGAAACGCAGCTAGCCACTGTATACTCGAAAATGCAATGTTGCCACTTTTTCTCACTAAACCATGTTCGAATCGTGGAAATTTTGGAAGATCACAGGGTTGCATTTAGCATTTAGATTCTTAATGCAAAAATGGAGTTGCATTTAGTTGCATTTAGGTGACGAATTTTGTATGGATAAATGTACATTTAGAGTAGCGTTTAGAGCTAAATGCGCTAAATGTGCTTTTACGCGTAAGCAAAAATAGCCCATAACTTGCTAAAGGATGCTGTTTGAAGCTGAAGCAAAATCATTGTGACGAAATGCTGTTAATATAATAATAAAGAAACATTTCCGGCTTTGCTGTGCCCTATGTACACAAAATGCAGCGATTTGTCGCAGGGCTACAATTGCATCTACGCATCTTGCATCTTTAGGGCTGTCGCACACGGCACTTCATGTTATTAGTTTTTACGCAGCCTTCAACTCAAAAATCACTCACAAATTGCAATGTAACACAATTTAATTTGATTTTTCACTTATAATTCAACTTTCCCTTGCCGCTGATTTGTAAACAAAGGTTTATTTACAAGTTACCACAACTGTCAAAATCGGCAAAACCAAAGTAGCGGTACCACTGACGGCGCCACCTTTGTTCGCTGCACCGTGCTACTGATATAACCTATATCTAGCGACCACAGTGACAGCTGGACAGCAATAAATTGTAACCTGTGGAGACGGCCAGTTAAGCGTAATGCAGCGTTTTTGCTGCATTTAAAATGCAACGTTTAGCACTTTCGAACATATTTGTTCGAAGAGCGCTCATGCTATCGCATTAGCAAATGAATATTTAAACAAGTTCGAAATCGTATGCTTTTGGAAACAGCCGTGATCCAGTCGCTTATTAAAATCCGTATCTATCACGATCTATTTGCACAGAGAAGATAATATGCAAAAAACCCTACAGAAAAGAAAAGGAGAAATTTTAAACAAAAAATTCAATACAACAACTTTAATTGTTTTAACCATAACCGAAAATATGTTTGTGTATATATTCATTTGTCGGTGCTGCCAATTGAAATTTCTTCAATTAAATAGGAAAACAAAAACAGAGTTGATCACGAATTGAGCCAACTTAATGTATATGAAATCTCGATCGGCGATCACTGAGACGCAGCAAGCAACTGTATACGCGAAATATGGCAATGTTGCCATATTTTCTCATTAAACCATGTTCGCATCGTGGAAATATTTGAAGATCACAGGGTTGCTTTTAGCATATACACTCAATGCAGAAATGGAGTTACATTTAATTGCATTTAGGTGACGAATTTTGTATGGATAAATGTACGGGGAAACTTTCCAATAAGGGCGTTGGTTAAAAGGGCGGTGGACGGAAGGGGAGGCGCGTGGCACCCCCTTTTTGGAGAGGGCATAAACGTCCCCTGTAGGTCCCTAGGGACCAATTATAAAAATTACCAAAAATCACAATTTTCGCTTGCGTTTTCGCTTGTTTTAGCTAATCAAAGCACTGACTTGTATCAAAAGGCAGGAAACACTTGGCATTGTACTAAAATTTATAATTTAGTTATTAAAGTTTATACTAGCGATAATAAAACAATATTTCAACAATATGTAACAAAATCACAAACCGATACGAATTTGCAGCTAATAGTTATTTACGTTGAACTGTTAAACGGCTGAATGAAGAAGAGGTGGGTGGAGAACCCAACGAGCAATTATCCACGGTATTTTTGCGAAGATGTTTCTGTAAAGGCAGTCCTCGTCCGCGCTTAGGGATTATAACCCTTACTAAGTAGATTTATCCTTCATGTGTTGCGAAATAAATGAGGCTGAAACGCCTTACGCCATCCACGGTATTTTTGCACATAACTACTTTCTGCGTAGGCGGCCTTCGGCCACGCTTATGGATTATAACCCTTACTACGAAGAATTCTCCTTTCGGTGTTGCGAAAAAAGGGGGCCGAAACCCCTTACGTCATCCACAGTATTTTTGCACATAACTCCTTCTGCGCAGGCGGCTTTCGGCCACGCTTAGGGATTATAACCCTTACTAAGTAGAATTCTCCTTTCTGTGTTGCGAAAGAAAGGAGGCCGAAACACCTTCCGCCATCCACGGTATTTTTTTCAGTTAACTACTTTCTGCGTAGGCGCCCTGCGGCCGCGCTTAGGGATTATAACCCTTACTAAGTAGAATTCTCCTTTCTGTGTTGCAAAAGAGAGGGGGCCGAAACCCCTTACATCATCCAGAGTATTTTTGCACATAAGTCGTAATATTGTGCATAATTGCTCGTTTGGTTAACCACACGCTTCTTCTTCATCCGGTCATTTGACAGTTTAACGTAAAAAAAAAACTAGTAGCTGCAAATTCTTATCGGTTTGTGATTTTGTTACATATTGTTGAAATATTGTTTTTATTATCGCTAATATAAACTTTAACAATGAAATTATAAATTTTAGTACTGCTCCAAGTGTTTCCTGCGTTCATTTGCTTAAAATAGACGAAAACGCAAGTGAAACTTGTGATTTTTGCCCATTTTCTCAGGAATCCCTAGGGACCTATAGGGGGCCTAGATGGTCAGCGGTTGCATTCTAGTGTATGGCGGTTTATGCTCTCTCTAAAGCATCCCTTTAACCAAAGCCCTTATTGGAAAGCCAACCCAAATGTGTATTTAGAGTGGCATTTAGAGCCAAATGCGCTAAATGTGCTTTTACGCGTAAAGGACTGTATGCAGTTCTCAAGGAAAGCTTCCATACAAAATGACGTACAAGAAATGGCTAAGAAATTTTCTTGAGTCAAATTCCTTTAAGGCCTGTATGCAGTTCTCAAGAAAAGCTGAAATTCCATACAAAATGACGTACAAGAAATGGATAAGAAATTTTCTTAAGTCAAATTTCCTTCAGGCAGTACGCAGCTCTTAAGAAATTTGCTACGCTTTATACTACGATTTTCTAAAGTTTTTTGTGAAAAAAGAGCACAAGGCAACCCAGGTTTGCAACAGAAATATATGCCCGTTCCATTATTTCTTGAGGAAAGAGTGAGGCGACAGGCTGTGAAGTATCAAAAATGTCAAAATTACTTGGACAGACAAACGAAATAATGGCAAATTTTTCTTGACCGATTTCTTGAGAGCTGCATACAGGGCTTTAGGCAGTACGCAGTTCTTAAGAAATTTGCTACGCTTTTTACACGGTTTTCTAAAGTTTTTTGTGAAAAAAGAGAACAAGGCAACCCAGGCTTGCAACAGAAATATATGCCCGTTCCATTATTTCTTGAGGAAAGAGTGAGGCAACAGGCTGTGAAGTATCAAAAACGTCAAAATTCCTTGGACATACACACGAAATAAAGGCACATTTTTCTTGACCGATTTCTTGGGAGCTGCTGGTATGCAAAAACAGCTCATAAGCAAATCAACCCGGTTCATCAATCAATAACGGTTGCTATTCTAGACATATGTATACCAAAGGTTTGCCAACGTGTAAACACAAAGTAATGCTCCGCTATCTACACGCCCTATCGACAAAAAAACTGAACGAAATTACCCAGAGGTGCAGAGTATCGTAGCTAATCGAAAATATGTTGGTTAACAAGTCAACCCTTACATGGAAAATGAAATTTCATGGGAATGAAATGGAAAGAGGATAATAACAAATTAAATTAAAAAAAAAGAATGTAATAAAAACCAAAATAAGTGTGAAATATGAAAACATCAAATTTTAAGACTGTTTGGTAAATAAACTGTTTTTCGTTATCAGATGAAAAGATGATTGAATCAGGTAAGAGAAGTAAATTTAGGCTCCGATATGTATTTCAATTGAACGAAGCCTTGATATGGGCTATGCTATGGTTGGGTTTGTGTTTATTGGCCATAACATCAAATACATATTTTTTAACCATTAATAAACGAGGGGACAACTCAACCTGGCTTGTTTTGTAAAATTAAGTCAAAATTACAAATCTATAATGATTACAGGTGTGGACAATACCGAGGCACTTGATTGTATTCTTCAAGCCGCAAATAAACATCCCAATTCACGTGTTTCCAAACTTATACACAGTGTGGAAGAGGAACGTTCTCAAAAAAATATAGTTCTTTTACTTATTGAGTTGGCAGAACATGTGGAATATGCTACTGATTTTAGCATTTCTTTAAAATATGTAAGTTTTAATTTTACTTTTTATGTACATATGTATAAATGTGCATATGTAGCAAACATTTTAAATGTCTTCTAAACTACATGTTTAAATGTTATTTAATTGTTGTTGTATGAACAGTATTTAGATTTATTTGAGAAATTGGGTATAGGGCGTGAAATCGTATTGAATGAAGCTGGCTTGTTGCTACTAAACTCTTCAAAAGTTTATGCGCGACGAGTTGATTTCATACAGGAATTAGTGGAGCGCCAGATACTGACTTTATCCAATGCAGACAAGGAAATAGTTCAAAGCAGGTAAGGTGAACTCGCACTAGGTACGATTCGGTTATTTGTACAATGGTTTTGTGGTTGCGGCAGCGGGGGATGGGGTGTGAAACCGAAAACTCAAACCATTAGAAAAAGTACAGTCCAAACTTTCATAAAAACATTTTCTAAAGATCGCTAGGGACACGTTTGAAAATGGGGTAAATGGGTAATGAGTAAATGGGGTTATGACAGAAAATGTTAACTTGGGTTACGCCTTCCACAGTATTTTTTGCGCAGAATATCTTTTCGCTTCAAAAAATAACCATCATTTTTTATTCCCACCACAGCCCGTTCTACGCACCGCATCTGCTCGCTTCTTCTGCTCAGGGCTGGCATTGAATCAAACCCTGGACCAAAAAACTATACCTGGGATATACTCTGTAGTGCGATTAGAAATGCAAATCGGGAGTACTACATAATTCCGACTTTTAACATCCCGATAAGACATAATCCAGACAATTTTTAAAAATTCAGAATATAAACAACCCAGACAGGACATAATACAGACATAAAATAATGACCAAATAAGATGCAGATAACACATTTTTCAGACAAGACAAAATCCCGACAAGACACAATCAAGACAAACAAATAGCAGCAGGTTGAACTACTACCTGAATAGGTTGAATGAGGATGTGCCGAATGAGTGTCCGGCATGCGGAGAGACCCCTCATGACTCGAAACATCTCTTCGCATGCCCGGAAAACCCGACAACCCTAACGGCCTTGTCCCTGTGGACAAACCCCACAGAAGCTGCACGCTTCCTAGGGTTGCCGCTAGTGGAACTTGACGACAACGACTGAGATACCAACCGTCCTGGCCGGGGTTGTTGTAGCCGCTACAACAACAACAACAACAAACAAATATTACAATGCGTCCAGCAATGGAATTGATGACTTATGCTTAAATATAAACGGTTACCACTCCACATTTTTTCGTATCTTCACCGCAAGAAGCCTACCCCTCTCCCCTACAAAATCCTCGGAAACCATTTTACGACAATGGCGAAAGGGGCCAGCATCAGCTGGGTATACGTCGACGACAAACCAATTCCTACGGTGAACAACCGGAAAATCGTCGGAAACAGCTCTCTTTCCCGGCGCACACAACTGGAATTGCCAACAAAGTTCAGAGACGTAGCAAAGTCCTCAATTCCCCAATTTGGCAGTACTGGTGCAAAGAAAAATAAACGGTGTTGCAAACACCCGATATACATGTCTCAAGTACTTGAAAGCAATTCTGGCTCATTCTCTTTTGTGTTTTCTATTTGCTTTTAAACGCTTCAATTCTGTTGAGCTCAAGTTTTTGGTTCTTTAAAATGTCAAAAGCAAAGCAAGAAATTTGAAACAACTAGACGGTACAGACGCATGCGAACAGAATGGAATTCAATACTTGAGCTGTGTAAAAGCAGTCAAAACATACACGGCAATTGGCCGTCCGGTTCTAAATTATGCAGCGCCTGCATGGTCGCCGGGGACAATTGGTACGCAGTAGACGAAACTACAGGCATACCACCACACAACACCCCGGACAACCGCGGGTGCCTTCTGATGTCGGCAGAAAATCACAGCCACAGTGAAGCCAAAATTCTCGTAGTAAGGGGCACAACATCATGCTCAGCAATCAATTCCTAGTAGGGTTCTACTATGGAAGCACCTTATCCAGCACTACTTAGAGCACCCCTGGGACTATTAATGGCATTTACAAACTCCAGTCGAGTGAATGCCGTCATCAGTGTACAATCATCACCTGTGAACGATAGAGAGCTTCAACTGCCACGATAGGCCCGCGTAACTCTGTTCCGACTCGCCTCCCAGCACCAAAATTAGTGTACAGCCTATGGAGATTCACCCCATGACACCAACCGCCTCTTCATATGGCCACTCAATCCAACTCAACTAACATCCCTCTCCCTCTGGTTCTACTCCACCGTTGGTTGAGCCTGCGGACAATTACGGGTTAAGTAAGCCGTTACAACAACATCCGTCTCCCTCTGGTTCTACCCCACCGTTAGTTGAGCCTGCGGACAATTACGGGTTAAGTAAGCCGTTACAACAACAACAAAAACCATTTCTTATGTATTATTGGTGAATCAAAACAGAAGACAATCATGACATACCGTATTGCGATCAGTCTCCCAAGGCATCTCCGAGGCTACAATTCAACTGTAACTGACTTCAGAGCAAGATCGAGGAGATACCGTCTTCATGGGTCAGCATCGAATATTGATAGCTGCGGTCGAAGAGGCAAAGCTTCATAGCAATTCAACATTGTTGATCTGCGCCGAATACAACGTGTACGAGCGAGATGATGGTGGAGGCTTAGCGTTTATCATGCATCATACCGTGCAGTATCTTCTTCTTCTATAAGCAGGCATCGACTGCAGGGATACCATCCCAGAATGTTGGGCATTGCTATTCGTTCAGGAGATGTCGAGCTCGATATATTCAAAGCTTACATACCCCCGGCGTGAAAATCCTGTGATAGTTGGCGAATTCAACGCGCACCACCATCTTGGCATCTAAGCCTGTCGAACAATTGTAGGAGAATACACTTGGGTGAACAGATATACGAGTCGAAATTCTGCACAATAAATTTTAATGGTTTCGTGATTCTATCTTAAAAAAAGCAAAAAATTCCATTATTGGTAAAATTTTTGGAAGATTTTATCGATGAACCAAATGAACCGGCAGCCGGATTCCAACTTTCGCTACAGCTAAAACTCCAAAAAACGCTAAATCAATTTCAGCAATTTTTAGTGATTTTCGCGATTCTATCTTAAAAAGGCATCTCTAAAAAACTACATAATAAACGACGACGCACCCACCACCAGCCGTATTCCAAGTTTCGCTATCGCTAAAAATCCATCGTTAAAAAATGCTAAATGAATTTTAGCAATTTTTAGTGATTTTCGCGATTCTATCCTAAAAAGGCATCTCTAAAAATCTCCATTTTTGATTAATTTTTGGGCAGATTTTAGCGATGAACAAAATGAAGCCGATTATTTTTTCGCTGATTCTTTGGAATTTCTTTTCATATGTTGAAGTGAAGCGACAGACAATAGCTAACTTAAAAAAACATTTGCAGACAGATCGCAAAAATGAAATTTTTTTGGGTGAAGGTGTTTCACGTTTTTTCCATACAAATGTAAGTTCGCAATTTTTTTTTATATGGAGGACACTGCCAGCAAAAAAATTTACAAAAATTAACGGACAGCTTGAAAGTTGCACTTCATTATACTAGAATTAAATGGTCTACAAAACTGCATACCAAAATTCTTATTAAAAAGTTTGAAATTTGGGTGAAAATGAGCAGAATTTTTGTTGTAAATTTTTGTACGAAGTTTGAAATCTGAATTTATATGGTGTTCGTTATATACCAGGGGCCTATTTCATATAAGTGACAGGTGCGACAATTATCGATTTTTCTATAAAATTTCACTGCCAAAATTGTCAGCGACATTTTTCCTGTTTCATATACGTTTTTAGGCAACTGTGAAATTTTTTGGAAAACGACAGTGATAATATGGAATATTGTCGACAATTATGCTGACAATTGTCCAAGGTATATTAAACAAGGTGGTGTTGGGGCGACAGCTGAGTTTTTCGCCGTGGAGGCCATTACGTCAAAATGATGTGTTTGTTGTAACTCATACCAATGACAGTATGGACATCAGCGTATAATTTGTTAGTGTAATTTTTTACTTATATACGGCCAACACCACCTTGTTAAATACGCCTTGCAATTGTCACTCTGAAAAAATTGTCGCTCCGTCTTTCACAGGAGAGTTTTGTGAAATTATTTATATGGTAATTGCGCGCGTTTCATTACTTTTCAATAATTGGAACTTTTCTTAAAACTAAAATAATGCAAATGCAATTATTACATATGATTTACATATAAATTTCATCTGACTGGCGAAAATTTTGTCAATGGCAATTTTAAACCCCGACAATGGATAATTTGGGACTTTTTGAATGGAATTTCTCATGGAATTTAAGAGGTGGTGACAATTGTTTTTATGAAACAAGACACCCACCAAACTGTCGAATTGTCACTGACAACATGGAAAATGCCTGTCGTTACAAAATTATCACTGTCGCTTTATGAAAAAGGCCCCAGCTAGACTTTTATAAAAAAAAATTTGCTTAAATAGCACCATATAAAAAAGTGTTCTATGTGATGTAAATACATGTGATATACGCATCGTCGCCTGGGTAAAAGATTGTCGTATGGCGATTTCGGCAGGTTGTGGGAGATCGCGATTGAAGTTTGGATGGCAATTTCTCAAAAACGCGAAGATAGATTTTCTCCAAAGTCTGAAAATGTTACTAGTTCATAAAATTTTTAAATTATTTAATTTTCAATGTTTATTGTTAATTAGTTTTGAGTATATCGATGGCTGAGTAGAAGATCGACCTATCTCGGCAGCCAGTTCGAAAACGCCCTATCTCAGAAAATTTTTGAACAACGCTCTATCTCAGAAAACTTTTCAAGAACGCCCCACTTCAGAATTTGATTGAAAAACGCCCTATCTCAGCTGTCGATTCAGAATCGCCCTATCTCAGCTTATTTTCAATGTATTTTCGTTTGAGATAGGGCGTTTTTGAACCGAATTCTGAGATAGGGTGTTTTTCAATAAAATTCTGAAATAAGTCATTTTTCAATTAAATTCTGAAGTATGGCGTTCTTGAAAAGTTTTCTGAGATAGGGCGTTTTTGAACTGGCTGCCGAGATAGGTCGATCTTCCACTCAGCCATCGATATTAAAATTTTGTCGTAAGCGTCATTTGTCCACAATTTGGCAGCCACTTTGTATGAAATACGACAAAATGTGATCAAAATTTCTACTAAATTAACGACACCTTTTACTCAATATCTCGGAAACTAAAGGAGATATCCAATAATGGAGAACGCCATTTTTAAGATATTGATTAGTTTAATATGACTGCATCACTAACTAAATTTTTACTAAATTATCGAAAAAAATTGTAGTCAATATCTCGGAAACTAAAGGAGATATCTAAAAATTGATAACACCAATCGAAAGATCTTGTTTAAAAATATATAACTGCTTCTAGAACTAAAAATCGTCAAAATTGCGCTTGCGACAACTTTTACCCAGGCGACGATATGTACATATATTTTTACACATACATGTGTATGTAAAGTTGCATAACAAGCCAATTAACTCAATTATTTTTTCTTTTGTTTCGTTAACTCCGTTAAATTAACTGATTTTAGGAATTAATACATTTATTTGTAATTTTTAATGGAATCGGCATCGGCATCGGCCGAATATTTCCCCGTATGCCGATTAATCGGCTTCGGCATCGGTACCTGAAAAAATATTGGAATCGGTCGCTAGAGCTAAAATTGCGATTCCAGGGTATTTTGCATCGCTAAAAATCTCAAACTTTCGCTAAAACTAGTTAAAAATTGGCGACTAGAAATAATTGCTGCTAAAAAAATGTATCAACAAATCACAGCCAATTTTCATGTTGTTGTTGGTTTAAACTACTCAACTAAACTCAACTATATAGAAAAAACTTTGTAATTAAAAAGGAAAATGGAAAACTGCAACAGAAAAGTGACAAAATAACCAAAATTTATGCTTGTACTATGTTTTGAAGGGCTCGATTATAACTATATTGATATTCTCAAACT